GGCCCCGACTTTTTTACGCCCCTCAGGCTGGGCTTCGGGACAATTTTCACGTCATAATTCAGACACGGGCAGGGCCTCGGGCCTGTTTTAGGCTTTAACTTATTTTTATATTTTAGACATCCATCAATTAGTGATAAAAAAAATTGCCACGCTGATGGAAACAACACGAGACTGTGCTACTGTGACTGTCAAGAGCGGCTCTACGGTGTTTAGTGTCCAGCAGCAGCAGCGAGCGTGCCGTCAGCACAGCTGAAGTGTTCTGCGTTCAAATGCATGCAATAGGCTTAAGTTTGCAGCAAAGCATCGGCAAAAGTAATTACCATAAATGCGTCAGGGGGAAACAGTAAGGAGATATTTTAATTTACTAATAAACTAGTGTTTTCTGAGTCGGTGTTGCAAGGATGAAGTTGTCGATCCTGACTCACCATCCCTTCATTAGACGCGCCTTTAGAGAGAAGTGCATCTTTACGGATTATGATCATGCTGAAAGAGTTTTGGTTTTTGATTTTTTTATTTCATTAAGTAGTAATTTAAAGCTTTCTATAGATATATTTATCATGTCTGAGAGGCATGTATTCGCTGAGTTTCGGTTCATTTTTGTGAAGCGTGCCTGTTCAAGATGAGACGGCAGAAAGCGCATCATGTTTGATTTCTTTATTTTATAAAAGCACAACGTTTTGTTGATATTGTGAGTGCACACAAATAAAAGTAAACCCTTTACAGTTACGAATGATGTATTACTCTTACCTTTATGAGCAAAAATGACGGTGTATCCACTGAAGAAAATGCAAGTTGTCGCGCTGGCGTCTCTATGTCCTGCAAAGCACGCTTCAGCTTCCACTCTCTGCGCAAACTGTTGGATATAACGCACATTTATCTAGGTTTAAACATTGTTATATGCTTTAACTGTTTTATACCTAGATTTTATTTTAGTCAAGTTGTGATGATTTGAGAAGGATAAATTGATCAAGCATATGCTCACTGTCTGCCGATGGCCACTTGGTCGTTACTTTAAATGCGTAACGTTAATTGGGCTATGTGAGTACTGCTCATGTCTGAAAATAATATATTGAAAAACAAAATTATTTTACATAAAAACATTAGGCTATAGCTTACACAATATATAGCTTATATTTATTTAGTACATTTTTAAATTAATGTAAAAACTAAAATTAATTGTAAAACAAAGTTTTTTTTTTTTTTTAATTGTGTTCAGCACGGTGGGCCGCATTTGAATTTGTGACGGTCCGCGGGTTGAGAACCACTGGTTTAAGGTCATGCCACAGCATCTCAATCGGATTTAAGTCTGGACTTTGACTTGGCCATTCCAAAACCTTAATTTTGTTTTTCTTGAGCCATTCAAAGGTGGACTTGCTGGTGTGTTTTGGATCATTGTCCTGCTGCATAAACCCAGTGCGCTTGAGCTTGAGGTCACAAACTGATGGCTGGACATTCTCCTTCAGGAATTTCTGATAGAGAGCAGAATTCATGGTTCCATCAGTTATGGCAAGTCACCCAGGTTACGCCAGATGTAACATTAGAAATGGCTTCATAACCCTTTCCAGACAGATACATGTCAACTATTTTGTTTCTCATCTGTTCTTGAATTTCTTTAAATCACGGCATGTGTTGCTCTTTAAGCATGCTTTACTTTGTCAGACAGGTTCTATATAAGTGAATTCTTGATTCAACAGGTCTGGCAGTAATCAGGCCTACGTGTGGCCAGTGAAATTTAACTTAGCTTTCTAAAATGATGTGGTTAATCACAGTTCTTTCATGATTTAAGAGGAGGGGCAATTAATTTTTCACGTAGGGCCAAGTAGGTTTGGACAGCTTTTTCCCCTTAATAAATGAAATGATCATTTAAAAACTGCATTTTGTATTTACTTGCATTATCTTTGCGTAATATTAAAATTGGTTCGAAAGTCTTTAAGAGCTCTGGCCTGAGAAGTTTTAGGTACTGGAATAACTGGTGTTTTTCCATGCTGCTGGTACAAAACCATCATCTAAAAAGACCTGAAACAACCTAGTACAAACATGGCCAAGTTTTTCTGCACACTCTTTTAATACAATGCCCTTAAGGCCATCTGGACCGGTGGCTTTATGTGTTTTAATTCTACGGGGCACTTTGGTAACCTCCCTTGCCTCTATTCTCATAGATTTAGATTCAATGAGAGTATCATTATTCACATTATTAACACCTATAGTATTGTCAAATCGTGAATAAAAAACATTTCAGTTATTTTCAAATGTATGGGGGTCATCATCAACCAGTTGTATTTGTTTCTGTTGTCTACCCATCATTATGTTTAGTCCCCTCCATGCATCTCTGGCATTACCACTTGTAAATTTCGTCTCAACTTTTCCTTTATACTGTATTTGCGCCTCCTTTATCTTACGTTTGACCTCTTTATTTAGCTCTTTTACTTTGTCTCATTCCTTTAAAAAGCCATTCTCTTCTCATTTAAAGATTGTTTAAGATCTTTGTTAATCCAGGGTTTGTTGTTTGGAAATACTCTTTAACGTTTTTTGTTTGAACCACAGTCTCTGCACAAAAGTTAATATAACCAGTAATTGTGTCATTCAACAACTCATGATCATTGCAGCAATTAAAATCATTAAAAAAACAAGTCCCAATCGGTGCTCTCAAAGCAGTCTCTAAGGTTTGCCACTGAATCTTTAGTCCATGACTGCACCTGCTGGATGACAGGTTTAGTCCTTTTTAACATCTGCCTGTATTTTGGAAGGAAATGGATGACGTTATGGTCTGAATGTCCTAGTGTGGATGTAACCGTGATACATAAGTACTGTCCACATTACCAAAGCATTTATCTAAGGTTTTGTTCAGTCTCGTCGGACAAGTTATATACTGTTCCAAGTTCGGCAAAACCGCTGATATTTCACAGTTATTAAAATCTCCAATGAGAAACACTGGATCGTCCGCTGAATTATGCAACGCCATGTTGTAGCTAGCAGCAATGCCCTCGGCTGCAAGTGAAAAATCTGTCCCAGGCACATAGACCAGAATAACAGTGATTTGTCCGTGGTCTGAATGAAAAAGATAATTCGTAGTCAGCTGAACAGTAGGTTCCACGTACCGTAGCATTGGTTGCCCAACTGTTGTTGACAAACATACATAATCCTCCTCCGATGCTTTTAAATGATTTCTGGCTGTCACGGTCCAGTCGAATTAACGAATATCCCTCGAGGTTTATGTCATCAATCTCCTCCGTTAGCCATGTTTCAGTAATGCAAAGCAAGTTTGTTCTCTTGAAGTCTAGATTATATCTCATTAGTGTTGCAAGTTCAGACATCTTGTTTTTAAGTGAGCGTTAGTTAGTTAGAGTTATTGTGGGCAAAGGAAAACGGCTGCCTCGTCGTTTAAGTCCTATCCTGTGTAATAGCCAAAATGTATTTTGAACGTAGTTACTGAATTTCATCTAACTTTAACTCTATTCATGTAGCCTACTCCTGTTTACTCTGTTGTTTCAGGAGTATAAGCATATGCACCCCCAGCTGTTCTGCATTCATGATCAATACTTTTTTTTTTTTGCTGATTGTCTTGTCAATCTTTTTGATAAAAAGGAAGCTGAATTTGCATTGTTATTGTTCACGTGTTGGTGCTGAGGCGCCGCGTTATAAGCAAACGTTTCATGGTTCACTGTTAGTGTTTTCATACCACACATTTCATGATGGCTATTTTAGAGGTGTGTCTAGCGATCCACAGACTCTTTTGAATGTCATTCAGAACTTTTCGAATTAAAAGCTCTCAATTCATCTCAAAATAAAACATTGTTGCAAAAACATTCTCATACATTTATTTTGAAGGCAAAACCACAAAAGACGAAGTGATTGTGAGTAACTGTTGCTGTCATGACAGATCTATTTCAGGTTGCGAGCGTGGGCCAGATATTATTGCTGGTGGGCCTGTTGCCGACCACTGTTCTATGCAATTGTTTTGATAAAGGGAAACAAGTTACAAGTCTAGTTTCAACATTATTTATTCTTCAAACGTTTCTCTTTAAATACAGTAAATATCAGCTGCATACAAAGTGACCATCATTTGGTTTTTAACTACGGACTTCAACAATTTGGACATGAAGCTGCATTGAGATCCTCATATCTCTGGGATTGAACCATATAGGGCCTTTGAAATGATGATTCCAAAAGAAAGTTTAAGAACCAGAATGTAAAATCATACTGAGATATCTTTAAGACTTCTTGAGTTACAGGCACGCAAACATTGGAAAAATTATATATAGGGCACTGAGACAGGTATGAGCTATGCAATTGTTTTGATCGAGGGAAACATGATACATTTCTAGTCTCAACATTATTTGTTCTTCAGACATTTCTCTTTAAAAGAAAAAAAGAATCGGGTGTATGCAAAGTGACTCACATTTGATTTTTTTTTTACCACTGACTCCTGGAGCCATATTGAGAGCCCTATATCTCTAGAACTGAACCATATAGGACCTTAAAAATGAAGATACCAAAATAAATGTTTGTTAAAACCCGAAATCTAAAAGGGCATTAAGATATCTTTAATACTTCTTGAGTTAAAGACATGCAAACTTTGCAGAAAAATTTAAAAGTGCTTTTTTTCCTATTTTTGAACGGTCACCATTGGCATATAATGCAACAAAGATTACTAAAGTCAACCGATTTTACTAATAGACCAACCAATCTCTCTCTGAAAACAACATAATGCTGCCATCTTTCTGAAGTAATTTTTACCTCCTTGTAATTTGGCTCTGAATCCCAGATGAAAATTTCCATTTTGACCCACCTCAACAAAATAGTGGAATTTTGTTTCTTGAATTTGCTTGATTTGACACTGAATGACCCAAATTAAATCAAAACTTTGTATAAGACACATCTCTGACATGAGCTTTTTCAACAAGCAGTGGGGATCAAATCGGCTTTGGCAAAAAGTGATCTGGACGTGTCCCACCCGTCTACCTGAAAATGACTCTTGTGCATTTTCACTCTCTCTGCAGCCTCTTCAAAGTCTGAGGGCTCACCAATGCAGCTGCCAGAGATTGCTGGGAAGAAGTCAGAAAAGACGAAAGACATTGTAAGACCAACTAGACATGCTGTAAGTAATTGTTGTCCTTTAATGTCAAATCATCTGATTTGTTGCTGCGCAGATATGACAAAAAGGCCTCATATTCAGACAGATTTCTATTGTTTCTATTGACCGTTTCTATTGAACTGAATGATAGATACATTCACACTGAACATTTTTACTCTAGGTGTAGATCTCTCTTTCTTTACTCCTTTTGCTTTATTTGAGGTTTTGGAATTTTATGGATTGTCCATGGTGTTCTTCACCATTAATCAGTCAATCCCTCTGACAATTTAAACTAGGTAGAAGTAGTGAGTTGGATGACGTTTTTGCTTTGTCTGCACATATTGTATTGTAATATTTGATTTTACTGCACTTGGATCTTTTTGAATAGCTGTACATTTTCTGTTCAAGTGAACACCACTCCTTATGAAAGTGGGTTTTTTTTCTTTCCATGTTTAATTGAAAGCTTTTTTAATTACATTTTTTTTAATTGGCAAGACACGTCAAGTTGCTGTGCAGAGACTGAGATGATGATTTGCTGCCTTTTTTTCTTTCAAATTTTTACTGTTACAGTGATGCATCTTTATACCTTATCAACATTCCTGAATTGCAACCACCTTGCACTGTTATTGACTGGCTGAGTACTCTACAAATTATAATTGTAATACAACTTTTCTTTTCATTTGACAGCCTGCGTCGTTCATAGAAGTACACTGCTGTGATTTAGGTTAAAAACTTATAAATACTCAGAACATATCAGACTATCTGTAACAGACAAAGCAATCGTGACATAATAAAAACATTGGTACTCACACTTGTGTGTTGCGACATTTCTGACTTATCCAAAATGGTCAGCACAACATCGTCTTTTAGTTTCAATCTCTCTGAAAATCTTGCGTCGGATTGTGTCTTGTTTAAAAATTAATCTGCAGGATAAAGAACCGAACAAATGACCAGGTTCTTATTGATGCAGTCTGAAACTTTATTAAAAAAAGTTCATCCACTCGTTTCTAATGTTGGGATCAGAAGGAAGGTAGTGCAAAGACTGCACAGCATCTTGTTATCCTCTGAGCCATCTTTATCATTTGGTTGCTGAGTAAACCTGTGTTTGCCTCTCTCGTTATTTACCTACTGCATGTGCAAAAAGAGGCAGTGATGTAGAAGTAGGCACATGTAAAAGGCATATGTCAAGTTGCTGTGTAGAGACAGAGATGTTGATTAGATTTATTTCTTTCAAATTGTTACTGTTACAGTGATGCATATTTATGCCTTATCAACATTCCAGAATTGCAACCACCTTGCACTATTTTATTGACTGGCTGAGTACTCTACAAATTATTATTGTAATAATACAACTTTTCAGTGTGAAAGAGAGGAATCAATTTAAGAGTGCTGTCGACAAAGACCCTTACATGTAGACTTTTCCCACACCTCCAGGATCTCACTGCTCTGGCCAAGGAGCTGCGTGCAATGGAAGATGTGCGACCTCATAATAAGGTGACAGATTACTCCTCATCGAGTGAAGATTTAGATTCAGATGTAGATGATGACGTGGTGGAGCAGGAGCAGGGTGATGAATCTACTTCAGGAGCAGAGGACTCAAGGACATGGCATGTGACACAGTCCACTTAATTAAAACACTACTCAGGAAACCATATAGAACACCACACATCTTTTAAGGATGAATTGTTTTTCCTCTCCAGCTCATCAAAGTTGAATAATGGTGAAACAGAGTCAGTGAAAACCATGCTTGTTCATGATGAATCGGAGAATGATCCAGCCTCCACCACACCTAGCAAAGATGTAACTTTAATCGTTAGACAGGTATTGTAAAAATTATTTGTTTTCTCAATTCATTTCAATTTCACATATTATATCACATATTTTGTCATCATGTGTTCCTTTTGTTTGGGGGGGGGGGGGCATTTGTTTTGTCAAAAAAAAAAAAAGTGTACTTTTTTTTTTTTTTTTTTTTTTTTTTTTTTTTTTTAAGAGCAGGACAAAACAAACGAGTCAAATACAGTGTTTAAGCTGATAACTTCTGCAGAATGCAGCATTCCTTCCCTCAGACCCTCGTTCTCTTTTTAGCTGAGTTCATACTGAACTGTCCCTGTTCTTGGTTCCAGAGCATAGCTGAGAGAAAGCATTTGCGTCCCATTCCTGGGCCCAGTCTGGGTCCAGGTTTGAGCCCTTCACACAGTCAAAGTCACCAGGAGAGAAACTGCTATGCAGGCTGCATTCACCTGCTGCCTGACCTCATCCAGCAGAGCCATCACTCCCCTTCATCCTCCCCCTCATCCAGTCATGGCAGCCCATCTATGTCCCCCCAGATTCCCATGGACATGCTGGTAGTCAGTGAGGTATGTCCCCTGCCCTCGGCACTGAATTCTGCTGCGGTCTTCATGTGGGCTCTACTATTCTGACTGCTTCTAATAAAACCATACTTTTTTTGAGGCCATAGTAGCACATAAAGGCCTCTTCCCACCAAATGCAAGAAATCACAAGCCATTGGTCAATCCATAGCAAGCGCAAAATGAATATCAGCTTTTCATACAGCAGATGGTGCACAACAGACATTTTATCTGTGCATGTCTCTAGCTATTTTTTTTTAGCTTATTTCAACTCGTAAGTCTAATTTGTAATCTGAGAGAATCTGTGAATGTTGACAAGATCAGTTGTCTTAAGTGGAAAAATAGTCGGTTTGCTAAAGAGTCTGATGTATGGCTGAGCAATAAAACTATCGCGATATAATTTTCCTCGATAAAACTATAACAAGAGTTTGATTAATGTTTATGCACCAAAAGTGGAATGAAACAGCGCTACTAATTTGAACCGTGCCACACGGACCATTTGTCCACTCGCAGGGCTCTCAGGTCTCACGCATTCACCATGAGACACACGCATTTCAACCAGTTCAAATGCTCACACACCACACCTTGTATTTCTCATGCTGAGAAGTAAGGGATAACTTGTCCCGCTATATACAATTAATGGACAAGGCTAAGACATATGGAGGGAAGTTTTCTGCAGAGTTCATATTCATAGCGGCTCGAGTTATGCAAAGTTAAATGCCACCTACCAGCCAATCAGAAATTAGAATGTTTCCATGTAAATTACGTGATCCCGCTGCAAGCACGTTCGTTACTAGGCAATATGGATGTGCACACCATACATACAGTGGTGTGAAAAGGTTTTTGCCCCCTTCCTGTATTTCATCATTTAAAAACTGCATTTTGTATTTACTTGCATTATCTTTGCGTAATATAAAAATTTGTTTGATGACCCTGTCTTATTTTTTGTCCTATTTCAGACACAGTCTGCCAGCAACACACTTCAAAAACACAAGTCGTCTTCCTCTTTTACCCCATTTATCGACCCACGTCTTCTACAGATTTCCCCTTCCAGTGGCAGTTCCCTCAACAACATGGGTAAGTCATTCTGAAGTCATGGGCAAATATTTCTTCAAGACCTGAGACTTATGTGAGGATATTTATTGTGACAACAATATGTCTATCAATAGAAATGTTGCTATATTGAGTATACTGGGGTATGCAAATATATATATACAGTATATGTGTGAAATATGTGTTTACATTCTTGATTAATACATTTTAGCTAAATACATTTAAATCACAAGCTGATTGTATGAGTGTGTTTTCTCAGCAGGCTTTAGTAATGAAGGACGTCTGCTGGACCCATCTCGTAAGGGCTCTGTGGTGAATGTAAACCCAGTAAACACTCGCCCACAGAGTGACACACCAGAAATCCGCAAATACAAAAAGAGGTTCAACTCGGAGATTCTGTGTGCTGCACTTTGGGGTATGTACTACATAATAATAGCCCACTGGAAGTAGGACATGTGGATACAGAAAATGAACACCTTATTGTTAATTTTTCATCACTCTCTCTTTTTCTTATTTCCTTGTGTAGGAGTAAATCTGTTGGTAGGAACTGAAAGTGGCCTCATGCTTCTTGATCGAAGTGGGCAGGGGAAAGTTTATCCACTTATTAACAGACGCCGTTTTCAACAAATGGATGTTCTTGAAGGCCTTAATATTCTAGTGACAATATCAGGTTAAAGAATATATGACTGACTTGTCAGAGCATTTTTAAATTCTTGTTCATTCTTTTAGCGAATATTTGAATTTCCTATTTGTAACCTTTTTACAGGAAAGAAGAACAAACTGCGAGTTTATTATCTGTCATGGCTGAGGAACAAGATTCTGCATAATGACCCTGAGGTGGAAAAGAAACAGGGTTGGACTACAGTGGGGGAGCTGGAGGGATGTGTGCACTACAAAGTCGGTACGTTTCCAGCTGTCAGGCATGGTTAGTACAACAGGAATCTGTAAAATACAATTATAAAAATTTCTCTCTTTTTTTTGTCACTTTCTAGTTAAATATGAAAGAATCAAGTTCTTGGTTATTGCCTTGAAAAATTTTGTGGAAGTGTATGCTTGGGCACCAAAGCCGTACCACAAGTTTATGGCCTTTAAGGTGAGTGCAATACCCGACATACTCAAATCACACCATTTTCCCACCTAATTCAGCTTCAATGTATACTTCTCTTCACACTGAAGGTGCTGGATGCAAAATTTTGGAATAATGTCAATCCACAAATCTGACTTGTGATGCAGCACTATAATTCACATTGTTCGTTCATTTAGAACTGGTTCCCCAACTGAGCCTAGTTTCTCTTGAGGTTTTTTTGTCCATTTCTGTCACCTGATGATGGAGTTTGGGTTTCTTTGGCTTGTTTAGTTGGGGTTTGACAAACAATTAATATTCAGTAATACACCACTGACACTATCGGATAACTGTATTTAGCTGAATAACAATATTAGTCTTTTTAGAGCTGCTTTACAATTGATTTTCTTTTTATAACTGACAACATTGCACCATTGACACTGCTGTCATTTCATAATTGAAGAGTTTTACAACACTAACGCCGTTTATTTCTGTGAAGATGCTTTCAACAAACAATCAGTATTGTACAGTCAAACCAAAATTTATTCAGACACCTTCAACATTTCACACATTATCACGGTTTATTCGCTATAGTTTTAAAAATGGTAATAAAATATTACAAGAACTCAGAGTTAAACTGTGTTCGAACAAATTCATCTCAGATGTCAGATAACACTTAAGCAAAACATGGTCAGGTCAAAGTGTCTGATTAATTTTTGGGTATAATATGTCACAGTTTACTTTTATTTTGCTATCCTCACTTACATAAACTATAGTGTCCTGCACTCACTAGTAAAAAAAAAAAAAATTCTAAAATTATATCGGTGTCTGAATAATTTTTGGTTTGACTGTATAAAGCGCTATAGAAATAAAGGTGACTTGACATTGAATTGCAGGTTTTAGTCAAATGTAAAGTTTTTGAAAATCTGAGTGGTGGTTGTCTCTTAACTGACATTACCATCTTGTTTCGTAGTCATTTGGAGACCTGGTCCACAAGCCTCTCTTAGTTGATCTGACTGTGGAAGAGGGTCAAAGATTAAAGGTCATCTATGGCTCCTGCTCTGGTTTTCATGCTGTAGATGTGGATTCAGGGGCAGTTTATGACATCTACCTTCCCACACACGTAAGCTCTTTTAGGACTTTGACTACTGAATTAAATTTTGTCTGATGCTCTTTTTTTATTCCAGCTTTTAACATTGTGATCTTTACTGTTTTAAATTAGTTTAAGGACAGATCATACTTGCTGTAATCATTTTAATCAAATACTTTGCACTTTTTCTTTTTCTCAGATTCAAACAAATATCCAAACCCACGCCATCATCATCCTCCCAAACACAGAAGGCATTGAGCTGTTGGTGTGCTATGAGGATGAAGGCGTGTATGTAAACACTTATGGAAGGATCACCAAAGACGTGGTGCTTCAGTGGGGTGAGATGCCCACCTCTGTGGGTAAGTTGAATTTTTGTGAAGGGTTTATATTCCACTTCAGATTACAGAATACATGTTCTTTGTTTTCCCTAGTGGAAAACAAGAGTCCAGTGGTGGATGAAGTACATTAATAATTTGCTTGAGTACAGCTACCCTAATGAAATATTAAAGGGTTAGTTCACCCAAAAATGAAAATTCTGTCATTAATTACTCACCCTCATGTCGTTTCAAACCCGTAAGACCTTCGTTCATCTTCGGAACACAAATTAAAATATTTTTGATGGAATCTGAGAGCTGTCTGACCCTGCATAGACGGCGATACAACTGAAATGTTCAAACGTAGTCCAAAAACGTAGCAAGGAGATCTGTAAAATAATCCATGTGACATCAGTGGTTCAACCGTAATTTTATGAAGCTACGAGAATAATTTATGTGCGCAAAAGCAAAAAAAACGACTTAATTCAACAATTTGTCTCCTCCGCATCACCCTGGTGCCATTTTGGAGAATATCCGCTGGACGTAAACAGTGCTGTTCTGTGTAAGCTGCGTCATGCCAGATACGCTGTTTCCATTTAGATCAAATCACAACAACATAGGAAACAGATCCGGCGTGACGCAGCTGACACAGAACAGCATACGTTGTTTACGTCCAGCGTATATTCTCCAAAATGGCACCAGGGTGATGCGGAGGAGGTGAATTGTTGAATAAAGTCGTTGTGTTTTGTGTTTTTTCCGTACAAAAATTATTCTTGTATCTTTGTATAATTGCGGTTGAACCACTGATGTCACATGGATTATTTTACAGATCTCCTTGCTATGTTTCTGGACTTGGGAACATTTAAGTTGTATTGCTGTCTATGCAGGGTCAGACAGCTCTCAGATTCCATCAAAATATCTTAATTTGTGTTCCGAAGATGAATGGAGGTTGTACGGGTTTGAAACGACATGAGGGTGAGTAATTAATGACAGAATTTTCGTTTTTGGGTGAACTATCTCTTTAAATGGTAACTTTGCACACCATCAGTCAAATCCTCTGCATACTCAAAATCATATTTCTCCAACTTCTTGGTTCATTAGTTAACTGGAGACTTGCTCCATCTGAAACATTGAATCAGTAAGTTGTGACAGCATACAGATACCTGTTCTGTTCACAGTTTCTGACATAATCTAAATGCTTGAGTGTGCTGACAACAGGACAAATGGAAGAGTAATGTTTGCGTTTTCAACGTGTCTTGTTTAAATAGCTTGTTTGCATCTCTGTACAGCCTTCAGAAGGAACAAGTGGATGGTTTATTTTTAATAGTTGCCAGGTTGACGGCAGCTCACCACTGTATATGTGTGTGTGTGTGTGTGTTTTATCTATACTTGTGAGGACCAAATGTCCTCATGTTGTGAAATACTTTGACAACCCACTAGTGTGGACATTTTACTGGTCCTCACTAGTTAAAAAGGCTTATAAATCAGCCAAAAGATGTTTCTATTTAAATCTAGCATTCTGCACATGTTTCAGTGATGGGTAAGTTTAGGGGTAGGGGTTGGTTTAGATGATAATGATGAAAATATCATTAACCTGATAGAAAGTTAATGAAAGTCCATGCAATGTCCTCACTAAGATAGCGAAACAAACATCTGATGTGTGTGTGTGTGTGTTTGTTTGTTTTCTTTATCTGATTTTGATTATGTCAGGAATATATTAGTTAATTGAACTCTGCATTTTTTTGTAGCTTACATCAGATCGAACCAGATCATGGGCTGGGGGGAGAAAGCTATTGAAATCCGTTCTGTGGAGACTGGTCACCTGGATGGTGTGTTCATGCACAAGAGGGCACAACGGTTGAAGTTTCTCTGTGAAAGAAATGACAAGGTTAGACATCCACACAGAATTCAGCAAAAAAATTAAAAGATTATGGCATACCTTATGGAAGCAAAAAAAAAAAGGCAGCATCCTACTCACTTTCATGTCATTCCAAACCTGTAGGATTTGTCTGTTTTACATGGAGTGCAGAAAGAGAAGAATGTCTGCCACAGATATTCCTGTTGTCCAATGTGATATTCCAATGTCACATTAAAATGGCAAGTGTTACATTATTTTCCTGACAGATAAAAATAGACTGTAATGGAAAATTTACAGCTCACTCAAACTGGCTGTTAAAGATTATTTGTGGCTCAGCCTTTTTATACCAAAGAGCATTTCACAAAAATTGCATTTAAAAAAAAAAGTTTTTTTTTTTTTTTTCATCAAATGAATTTCACACTTTTAGCCAAACTGATGCTTCACCCAGACTTTTTGAAAGATAGCATCTTTGGCCATTAAAAAACATTGTCATTCGAACCAGTATTTTGAAAGAAACAATGTTGCTGGCTGAAATTATCTTCCGTGTAATTGGCTGATTTGAACAATTTAATTAAAGTAATTAATTCAATAGGTGTTCTACATTCTTATTGGTGTTTTGTGCACTCCACATTTAGTGCTTAAAAGATGCCATATCACCAAAGGTGTTTATATTTGTTTCTTTTTTGTGTTACACTTTATTTTATGGTATTCTTGTTAATAATTGCAAGTAATACACTGCTCAAAAAATTAACCACTTAATAATCACAGTTCCACTATAACACCAAGTCAGTTAAACTTCAGGGATATCAGTCTGTCCAGTTAGGAAGTGTAAGTGATTGTGAATCAGTTTCACCTGCTTTGGTGTAAATCAAAGTGACAAGGCTAAACAACCCCCAAAAAGGGAATGATTTTGCAGGTAGTGACCAGCACAGAAAATTGCTTTCTCCTTAACCTTCCTGATAGATTTCTCTAGTTTTGTGTTTTATTAGGGTCAGTACTTATAGCATGGGGCAGTACCTGCAACCCAGTCAGGTTGCACAGGTAGTCCTGCTTCATACAGGATGACGTGCTGTCGCATTGAGGTTTGGTCTGTCTCCCTGCTCAGTCCCAAGAGCATGAAGGAGGTACTGAGCCTGACCATAAATGTGGTCATGTAAAATTTGACCACAACCCCGGCACTTATTGAATTTTTTCACATTAAATACCAACTATTGTCCTGTAAAAATAAAAAGCAGCATTTAATAATAATAAAATGACAATATATAATAATAATAATTAATATAATACAATACAATAAAACTATTAATAGAGTTTTTATTATTAAAGTATTTGCCAAAAGTTTGGAAACATTACAATTATTAATGATTTTGAAATAAATCTCTTCTAAGGCTGCATTTATTTTATCAAAAATAAAGTAAAAACAGCAATATTGTGAAATATTAATACATATAATTTAAAAAAAGTGTTCTATTTTAATATATTATAAAATTTAATTTATTCCTGTGATGCAAAGCAGAATTTTCTGCATTATTACTCCAGTTTTCAGTATCACGTGATCTTTCAGAAATCATTACAATTTGATTTGATGCTCAAGAAACATTTCTGATTATCATCAGTTTAAAACACTTGTGCTGCTTCATATTTTGTGTGGAAATGGTGATACATTTTATTTTTTAGGATTCTTTGATAAATAGAAAGTTGAAATATATTTATTACATTTATTAAAACATTTATTAAATATACAATTTTTTTTTAGTTTGCATGATAGGACTAGGTATTATGATCCCAATATTCAGCACCATAGAACATTTTACCTTAGACACAGCAATTGTTACACTCTGATTTTGGTTCAGCAAGAATCCAGGAACATGGCCTAATCCATGGCCGTGGTACTTGCCTCCAGTGCTTAATTTGTAAATGAATAATTGCTGGATCCAAAACAGCAATTAAAAGGCGCTGTGCCGGACACTGAAAATACAACTTAAGTTTTCCCGGAACATTCAATGACGTCACTAAACGGTGATGCCACAATTATAAGAGAGCATCGTTCACAAGTTTCTGCATTAACCTAACTAGGGCACAGCTTCAAACCCTGGGTCAAAAATGGGTTGCCAGGATGATTTTAGGAAAATGTATATCTACGATACATTAAAAATAAAAAAAATGTGTTTTGATAAAAATTTAATTAAATCATAGTATAAATATGTGAAAAATATCTGACTTAAGTAACAGTTTTAATTAAACGTGCATCCTTGCTTTATTTCACACAATCACAAATGTTCTGTTGTTATTTTGAGTGTGCAAAAATAAAAGTAAACACTTTGTGCTTTCGAATTATGTCTTACTCTTATCTGTATGACCAAAAATGATGTATTTTATGTTTCAGCTGTTCGATCGCACCGGCGCCTCACGCGCTCTCAAACACACACACACCACATATCTCAAACTTGACATCGCAGTCTGTTCATTATCAAAATAAAATAGTCAACCAAAAATATAAAAGGTTATACTGATCAATTTAAATAGTCCATGGTATACAGTCGTGGTCAGAATTATTGGCACCCTTGATAATATGATCAAAAAAGGCTGTAAAAAAAATCTGCATTAATCATTTTGATCTTTTATTTCTCTAATACACATTGGACACAATTAACGGCACCCTTTTATTCAATGCTTTTTGAAACCTCCATTTGGCATAATAACAGCTCTGCATTTCTCCTATAATGCCTGATGAGGTTAGAGAGCACCTGACAAGAGATCAGAGATAATTCCTTCATCCAGAATCTCTGCAGATCCTTCAGATCAGAATCAGAATCAGAATGAGCTTTATTGCCAGGTATGTTTACACATACGAGGAATTTGACAGAAGCTCCACAGTGCAACAGAATGACAGTGACAAGACAGGACACAGATAATAAAAAGAATAATATACAAATATACAAATTAGACAATGTTCAAAAAAAGCAAAAACACAATATATAATATAGACAATTTTGTATGTACAGGTATGATATGTGCAAATTTGAAATGCAAATAAGTATGTGTTTTAAATAAATAATGTATACTAATGTTGTGTTCCGCGATTATTTTTAAGTGTTCATGAGATGGATTGCCTGAGGAAAGAAACTGTTCCCGTGTCTAATCGTTCTGGTGCTCAGTGCTCTGTAGCGTCGACCAGATGGCAACAGTTCAAAGAGGGAGTGTGCTGGATGTGAGGGGTCCAGAGTGATTTTGCTAGCCCTTTTGCTCACTCTGAATGAGTACAGTTCTTGGAGAGTGGGGAGGGTTGTACCAATGATTCGCTCAGCAGTCCGGACTATCCTCTGTAGTCTTCTGAGGTCAGATTTGGTAGCTGAGCTGAACCAGACCATTATAGAAGTGCAGAGGACAGATTCAATGATGGCGGAGTAGAACTGTTTCAGCAGCTCTTGTGGCAGGTTGAACTCCCTCAGCTGGCGAAGGGGGGTTAAAGTGTTAAAGGCCGAGCTGAAGTCCACAAACAGGATTCTCACATAAGTCCCTGGTCTGTCTAGATGTTGCAGGATGTAATGCAGTCCCATGTTGACTATCATCCACAGACCTGTTTGCTCTATAGGCAAACTGCAGGGGGTCTAGTAAGGGTCCAGTGATGTCCTTCAGATAAGCCAAAACCAGTCTTTCAAATGATTTCATGGCCACAGACGTTAGAGCCACAGGTCTGTAGTCATTAAGTCATAGTAATTTTGGGTTTCTTTGGGACGGGGATGATGGTGGAGCGTTTGAAGCATGAAGGGACTTCGCACAGCTCCAGTGATCTGTTGAAGATCTGTGTGAAGATGGGGGCCAGCTGGTCAGCACAGGTTTTCAGACAGGCTGGTGTCACACCGTCTGGGCCTGGTGCTTTTCTTCTCTTTTTCTTTCTGAAGACCTGACGCATGTCATCTTCACTGATCTGGAGTGCTGGAGGGGGGTAGAGGGGGGTTGCAGGAGGTGTGAATGGTGCTTTTTCAAACCGGCAATAGAACTCGTTCAGATCGTCTCCCAGTTGTTGATTCTCCACAGTGCTGGGGGATGGTGTCTTGTAATTGGTGATGTCTTTCAGACCTTTCCACACTGAAGCAGGATCACTGGAAAATAATTGGTTCTTTAGCTTTCCAGTATAATTCCTTTTTGCCACTCTGATCTCCTTTTCCAGTGTGTATTTGGCCTGTTTATACAAGACATTGTCCCCCTTCCTGCAAGCATCTTCTTTGGCCTGACGGAGCTGTCTGAGTTTTGCAGTGAACCATGGTTTGTTGTTGTTGTAGGTTAAATGAGTAGGAATGCACATGTCTTCAGAGAAACTGATATAAGATGTCACAGTCTCTGTGAGCTCATCCAGATTGGTGGCAGCAGCTTCAAAAACACTCCAATCAGTGAGGTCAAAACAAGCGTGTAAATCCTGCTCTGCTTCATTAGTCCATCTTTTTACAGTCCTTAATACAGGTTTAGCTGATTTCAGTTTCTGCCTGTAGGTCGGTATAAGATGAAC